GGGGAAATAGCCTTAGCTAAGGCAGAGTTGTCCTCCTTGCTTATCAAGAAGTGTCAAGCTCTGATAGTTAGGGCTAGGTTAAATAGAATGTCCCCTGAGGCAACGAGTATGACCGCTGAATTGCGTGCAAAGAATCGGAACGCGTCTCGGCGACATATCGCGTGCGTCACATTGCCGGATAAGCGGACCGTGACTACAAACTCGGACATTATGTGAGGCTTCTCGTGAGTACTTTCAGGAACTGTTCACCAGGGAGCCCGGCCTGAGCTTTGCTCAGTTCGACGCCTATTTAGCTGACTTTCCCTGCTTTGAGGCAGCTGAAGCGGCTAGGTGCAAGGATCCCATTAGAGAGTCGGAAATCTGGGAAGCGCTGAAACAGGTTGGACAAATCTCCGGGATTAGATGGTCTTCCGTACGAAGTGTACTTGAGGCAGTCACCCATTTTTGTTCACTTGCTGGCACTGATTTTCGGCAACTGGATGAAGCAAGTCTATACCTCAACACTTCACCATGGGCGTAATCAATTTGTTACGTAAGAACAAAAACGGTGGGGATGGGAACTTTCGCCCTTTAACTATGCTAAACACAGAGTTAAAGATTTTGGCTAAGGTCTTAGCGAACTGTTTGCAGGTTGTCCTCTATGTCTGATTGGCTCCGAACAGACTTGTGCTATGAAGGGCAGGACTATTCATGACAACCTACATATGGTGCGCTTGATCATCAAGCAAGTCGACAGTGAAGCCGCGCTGATCAATTTAGATCAGTCCAAGGCCTTCGATAGGGTTGACCATCGCTTTCTCGAGGCTCTCCTTCCGGCGGCCGCTTTCGGGCCGTACTTTCGCACCTGGGTCTAACTTCTGTATGCGAGCCCCGGTGCACTGGAGAAGGTGAACGGAGTACGATCGGAGCCTTTCGTATTGTCTCGCTCCATTCGTCAAGGTTGTCCGCTTTCGCCTTTGCTTTACGTTCTTGCGTTGGAGCCTTTCCTTTGCAAGTTAAAGACGAATCCGGTCCTACGCGGAATTTCCATACCTGGTGCTACCATCTCGCCCAGGTATTCCACCTATACTGATGACGTTTCGGTTCTTGTGTCGATCAGGGCCGAGACTGACGAAATCAGCAAAGAAATCAGTGGTTATGAGATGGTGACAGGGGTCAAAATCTACCGCGATAAGTCTGTCGGCTTGCGGTTTGGTGCGTAGAAGGGATTTCCTCTTCCCAGACCTTTCCTCTGGACGGATGGGCCGGTCAAGATTCTCGGAGTCTGGTTCGGTTCTGATCTCCAGTTGGAAATGAATTGGTCGGAGGTACAATTAATTTGTGATCTCACAGGAATCTTTCCTTAAAGGGGAGGGCGGAAGTATGTGTTTCGCACATCTACCCGATTCTCCTTAACTGACTCTCGGTGCTTCCACTTCCGTCGGACACTTTACTGGTGTTAGCGAGGCTCTTGTTCTCCTTGTGGGAAGGCAAGACCGCCTGAGTCTCTCGGAATATATGTTGCCTTCATCCATTTGAAGGCGGTCTAGGTATGCTTAGCATTGAGATTCGTCAATATATGCTTCGCATCGCGTTCCGGCATCGAATGTGTCGCGAATCGGATGAGGAGGGTGCCTTCTAGAAGGAAGACGACCATAAGAACTTCCCAACCCTGAGAAGTGTGCACTCGTGCGAGAATCCCAACCGTATACCTCGAGTCGAGTGCTCCTTCTACCGTGAATGTCGTCGTGCTCTGAAACGCCTGTTATGGGTGTTTGATGGCCTCTCCAACGTCCAGGCGTTGTCTTGTAGGACATTATATCAGGTTAGGGGGGCCGTTCGTGATGAACTGATTGACGAGCTCGGTCTTACGAAGTAGGAGGCTTGCTCAATCTGGCCTTGGGCGTCCAGGTTGAAATGTCTCAATAACAATGAGGCATCACTCACTTGGCTGGTGATGCGTGGGGCCCTCTGTGTCGCCAAGAGACTTTGTTCAGCAGGCTTGGAGAAATATCCAAACTGCCGGCGCAGTAGTCGGGAAGTCGAGACCATTGGTCACGCCTTCTTTCATTGCACGTCAGAAGAGATTCTATGAAGGCGAGAAGTTCACCTGGAGTAGCACTTTGATGCCGATTAGGCATCAGGATATTGCTTTACCTCGGTTGAACACTGGAAACCCATCCCAAAATTAGGTTAGCTTAGGTTTAGTTTTGATTCTTTAGTTTCCTTTTTCAATAAACTTTTATTTCTGTCCCTATTTTTCTTTAGGTTTAATTCACCATCCCCTCCCTTGTTCGGTGGTCAGTGATATCAGTTCTCTGGTAGATGCGGGGCGACTTTCTTTTCGTGTATGATTTTTGGTATTTGTTGTTATGTCTTAATGAGTGCGTGTCTGCGTGAGTGCTTGGGATGAACGAATGTTTTATATTATTATAGTCCCACATTAATTTCGTCCGGTTAACTGATGTTTCTGCCACATTTAGTGATTGTAGGGGTTTTTATTACTAATATGATTTTGTTTAGTTTCTTGTAAATAGTTTTAATTTCATATTGTAAATACTCATTGGGGCTAGTTTTTAAAATTTTTAATATTGTTGTTTTTATCCCCCCCCCCACAGACGATAAATTGTAAATCGGAAATAGTTAGTATTTTCATGGAGACATTGAGGTATTATGGTGGATGTGGTGAGAAAGGTACGTAAGAATGTGTTGTTTTGGTGTAAGGAATATTGTTTGTATGATTGGGTCAGCATTTGTGGCTCGCTAAGTTTAAAGTTAAGACAGAAGACCGACCTCTTTCCCCTTCCCCATTTCGGCGTTGTGCCACATATTCTGTATTTTACAGAAATAAATATTTTTTGAACTTGGTGGCTACACCAGTGTATTCGTGTGTCAGACCACTTGCAAGCTAACCAATATTCTACACCAAATACCCTTTAATTTTTAATGTTATCTCCCTTCATAATGAAGTGGTTTCCCCGTTGACTTCCCCACTATTTTGAATTTAAAGTGATCTTTCTCTTACAATTCAACACTATAAATAGCCTAACCTGCTATTTAACCTAAAGGTGAGATGAACAGAGGAGATGGATTAATGTCTTTGTGAAAAAGTGTATGCAACAAACTAGTACAGAATTTTTAAAGTCTGCTCGCCAATTGTACTTTCCGAGCCGATAATTGTTACACTATCCGCATATCCAGCCATTAATACTTTCATACAAATAGTAGAATCTTCGTTTGTAAATCCAAGGAAAAATCTTTTCATGTAAATGTTTTGTATAAAATCGTTTTCAAATATTCCAAAAAGTGTATGCAACAAACTAGTACAGAATTTTTAAAGTCTGCTCGCCAATTGTACTTTCCGAGCCGATAATTGTTACACTATCCGCATATCCAGCCATTAATACTTTCATACAAATAGTAGAATCTTCGTTTGTAAATCCAAGGAAAAATCTTTTCATGTAAATGTTTTGTATAAAATCGTTTTTCAAATATTCCAAAAAGTGTATGCAACAAACTAGTACAGAATTTTTTAAAGTCTGCTCATAATTGTACTTTCCGAGCCGATAATTTGTTACACTATCCGCATATCCAGCCATTAATACTTTCATACAAATAGTAGAATCTTCGTTTGTAAATCCAAGGAAAAATCTTTTCATGTAAATGTTTTGTATAAAATCGTTTTCAAATATTCCAAAAAGTGTATGCAACTAACTAGTACAGAATTTTTAAAGTCTGCTCGCCAATTGTACTTTCCGAGCCGATAATTGTTACACTATCCGCATATCCAGCCATTAATACTTTCCTACAAATAGTAGAATCTTCGTTTGTAAATCCAAGGAAAAATCTTTTCATGTAAATGTTTTGTATAAAATCGTTTTCAAATATTCCAAACAAATTGGAATAATATTTCTAATTTGGAAAAATGCGTGTTGAAAAGATAAACAGAAAATGAAAGAAAATGTAATTAAGCAATCTTAGCGCTGAACGTATAGAAAGTGATTGTATAAAATAAAATGAAAGAATAGAAATGAAATACGGGAAGAGAACGTGAAGGTTTTTTGTAAAACAATAGGCTCTAATTGGAAGACCACCAATTTAATTCAGTGGCAGTTTGTACGAGATTTTATAGCCATTTCCTTTAATAAAAAGAAGAGAAGATAAAAAATAAAATGATTACAACGTAGCTGTGCAGAGGATATATCAAAAGAAAAAATCACTGACGCTAGCAGACTGACTTAAAACTGAATAATTCACACTGGGCAGCAAATGTGAATTGTGCAAAGAAAAATAGCCATTTCATCTGATATGAGTCAGAAGACTAACTTTAAATATCGTAAACATGAAAAGCTAAAAGTATCGAATTATGTGTGCAGCCATTCCGAGACCGAAGGAGAATGTAAAAATAGATAAATATCGAGATATTACGCAAGAACTGTTAACATTATGTGATATGAATTGGAGTCTCGTGCTCTTACTCTATGGGCTTTTGAAAACGGTCTCAAAGTCCTTTACAATATAAGGAAATGATAAAATATCGAAGGATAAAGGCGATGCTGACTCTTTTAAAACGGGTGAGATAACAAAAGAGCATAATGGAGACCTGAAGATATCTGATACATTTTAACTCTCAGATATTTAATTATAACTAAGACGAGCTAATCGCAAGATTCAATTAAATAAAATCTAATTGTGGAAATATACATTAAATTTTTAAAATGAGTTCGATCCATAATATATCATTGGTGATTACTTGATTGTTCTCACGATACGGAAGATCGTCAGGATGCTATGCTGCGTTATTCATAGCATCTAGAAGATAAGAAACATCCTGCATACCATTTTTCACTCACTTTAAATTAGTGCTGGAAGATTCTCAGCACGACCAGAACAACATCTTATTTTAATCAGATGTTTGGTCATTTAGTCAGATAGACTTGAAAAGTATGTCGTATGTAAGATCCCCTTTGTGTGTATGTGTGTGTATGTATATTCTTTGAAACATTCTCTCGTCTTTTGTAATGACTGCTGCTGCTGCCACATTATTTAATTACCAAATGCCAGTAATAAAGGATGAATATCTTTGTCGTAAGATATTGAGAGCCGACCACTCTCCTTCCTTTCTTTATTCCTCTCAGTTACATTCTTTTCCCTTTTTGAATTTCTAGACATTTTTCCATGTTTTATTCAGATTTTTAAATCTTTTTTCTCTCTCGTTTTTTCTTTTGTTTTCTGTTTTTCTTTCATCTCTTTTCTTTCATTTTCTTAATTTTCTTTCACATTTCATTTTTTACATTTCCTCTTCATCATTGCTTCTTTTTGAAGTATTTTCTTATTTTCGTATAAATCTTCTATTATCTTCATTTCTTATTTCATCATTACTACTTATTCTTTTCGTGGCTTTTTGCTTTTTTAATACCAATTTTTCATTTTTATTTCATGTAAGTTCTCTCTCTTCCTTTTATGTCAATCACTCTTACTTCGTTCAGTTTTACCTTCTTACTTCTATTATTACTCAATACTATTCTTTTTAAATCATTTCCTTTTTCTTTTCCTACTTTCATTCCTTCACTGCATATTATTCTTTTTATCCCTTTCTTCCATAGCTTTTTAAAATTGTTTCAAGTTTATTCTGTTTTTGCCCATCTTGATTCTCTACTTCTTTTCGCTTCTATTCAAATTTAACACCTCTTTTCCCCTATTTCGTTATCTACTTTAGATTATTTATTACTTCTTTTTTAACCAATAGCTGTTTCTTTTTTTTCTTTTTTGGAAGAGAGAAAATTGGAGAAAATAATTTCCTCTAACTTTTTCTTTCATTTCTTTCTTTTACTTTTCTTTGTTTTCTTTCTTCTATTTTCATTTTTTTTTTTTGTTCTATTTTCTTTCTTCTCAACCTTTGCCTTAACTTATTTATTCTTACCGCTTATATTCATTCATTCTTTCTCTCTCTACTATCCGTGCCTTTCCAGCTTATTATTTCCGAAAAAAATGCAAACGAACGAAAAGACGACCATGGGTCATGTTGGCTAACCAATAGAAAAAATGAAAATAGACATTTTTTTATTTACTGTTTTTCACGTTTTTTCTTTCATTTTGCAGCCATCTCTCATTATTATTCTTTCTTTCAGCGACCTTAACCCAGCATCTTCCGTCTACAAAATCATCTATTTTTTCTATTTTTACTTTTCTTTCACTTATATATTCGATTATTTATTTACTACTTGTCTGTTGCTTATTTGGGTGTGTTGCCTGATTTCTTTTTAGTCGTTTTTTAATGTTTCAATGGAACACAGCAGTTTGTTTCTCGGTTGGATCAATTTTAAGAGCTAAGGTTTGGCAATATAGTGAAATATGATTTAGGCGTGTATTACTTTTAAAATATGAATGTGATTGAAAAAATGTGACAAACAAAATATGAAGATAAAAATCTGTGTATGTGATAAAATTGTAAAGAAATTAATAGCCGGTTAGTCTTACAAGACATTGAAAGTGATTTTCTCAATGTCTTGTAAAACTAACCTGCTAACCAAACTCCATCTTACGAATTCCTACACAAAATAAACATACAACAACCTAACTAACTCAGACGCTTCTATTCGGAAATTGACACAAGAACCTATGTTTAAACTACATTTACTTTCATTTGCAAATGTTACAAAGCAAGTAACACATCTCACTGCAGGTGAATAAATTTATAAAATATGCTTATCGTGCAACGGTAACCATGTTTTATAAAAGGTTGCCAGATCATCTGCGAAATTTGTATCAGTGACATGATCAAGTAAAATAACCAAATCAAGTTAATAAGGACATTAAATGGAAAAATGAAATAATTGAATGAAAATAATGATTATCAGCTTTATTAGAAAGAGGTGACTTGAAAAATCAAACAATCAAATATACTTAAAATTATCCTTTCCAATGAGTAGTTTTGAAAAAACTCACACATTTTATATAGATAAACCCTTCGTAATATGTGGGCTATACTTGGGAGAAATTATTTTTGTATTTCTTTAAAGCATGGGTTGCTAGGAATCCTTACAGTGAGTCTATTGAAATCTTTTCCAATCAATCCGAGGGCTCCAACTACAAATGGAATTGTTGATGACCATATGTACCACAGTTATGAGATTTCGATTTCAAAATCCTTGTATTTTGATAGGTTTTTGAAATCTTCAAAGATATATTGCAGTCTTCAGGGACTGTCATGTCAATAAGAAGGCTACATTTTGTCTTTGTGGTCTTTAATTACGATGTCTAGGCGATTAGTTTTGATTGTTCTGTCTCTGTTATGTAAAGTTCCATAAAATTGTCCTATCTCTGTAACCGGGTGTCGGTGGTGTTCATACTAATTTCTTGCAGTTTCCTTTCCGTAAAAATTGCAGATTTTCCAGTGCACATATTGGCCCACTCTGTCATGCCGAGATTTATATTCATTTGGTGTCAATACCGTGCAACCTGATACAAGAATATTTATCACAGAATCTGCATTTTGGACTTTTTCAGTATGTGTGCTGGTAATTTCTAGTTAGCAAACATTGGTCTCATGTAGCAAAGATAAAACTTTAAGCATTTAACCCTGCACTACTGATGGGTGCGGGGTTTGTCTCTACGAGGCAAAGTATTGACCGTGAAGCGGTTTATTTTGCCATCGTTTTTGCATCTGGTCGGTTGCAATTGCCTTTGCTTTCTTTGTCGTATTTTGCAGCTTCAGTCGGTGTATTTTGCTTTACTTGCATTTCTTCACCCATTTGAAACTCCACGTTGAAATTGTTGGCTTCCTTTATTACTGAATAAAGTTTCTGACTTCTTTCGTGTTCTTTGACACAGATTATCATGCAGTCTTCTGTAATTTCCAGGTATCTTTGAAGACCAATTGTTATAGTTTTGTAAGACAGCTCTAGTTGAACTAATTCTCTGCCTCCTTCAGATCTGGGCACATACAGGCGATCAACATCAGACTTGGGATGATACATGCGGTAGTAGGTGAGAAGTTTTCTCATTTTGGTGAAAACAAGAAAGCTTCCTTATTCGCGTTATGTCAGCTATGGTCCAGTTAAGAATGTTGAATTTGCTGTCAGCCTTATAAAAACTCGCAAACTCTCAAAAGATTTGTAACAGACTAATTTTTGATTTAATCATTCAAAGATGACACTAGAACAACTTTTATTTGGCACACAGTGCAAATAATCTTTGTACCACTGCACAACTATTTTCTTGGCTTACAGTATTGTACTACATATAGTCAACCTCTTTCATTCCTATGCGTATAACTACATTAAGTTTGGAGTGATTTGCTTCACTACTCATGATAACAAACCTAGATACGACAAATTGGTGAAACAGATCTGAGTGTCGTATCTGGCAGGTGTTTCTTTAAAGGCCAATATGACAGATATAATTTTGTAAGCGTAGCTTAGATGTGGCACAAGGCCGAAAGTATGGGGCACCTAGTGAGGATCGAACTCACTTTTCAGTCGTAACTGATCTAACGAGACAAGCTTGCTAACCATTACACCACGCCGAGGTGCCCCCAACATGACAGATATAGTTGTCATTATTGGGAATTTCTCTTTGAAAATGAGAACGCATGAAAACAAACTGTGATCGCCCCACGAAAATAAAATATGGGATAAAATACATTGTAAACCAGCACAATATACGTTCATTTAAAAGTTAGGAATCACAAGCAAATAAAGATTGAATCAGGGCAAGACAAATACTTTATAGAAACAAATAACAGTTACGATATTAATATTTGTAAGCGCAGAATTTAAAGAGAAATGTTCAAATTCTATAGAAGATTAAATTCAAGAGAAATTTCAAAACAAGATGGATGATAAGATTGGGAAAATAGATAACTGGACACATAGAAATACGAAACCGATAAAATCACTTCTGATGATTTTAATAAGTCATTGCCAAATAACGGTGAAAAATGACAATTAAAAGAACAGTGACTAAATAAAAGGAATTCAAACAGCGAATTTTATAAACTCATAAGACGGGCTAAAATGATTATTATATAAATTATTTTATGAAGATCTATAGCGGTTTCTTCATTTTTTTCATAGTTATAATGTTCCTCAGGTTTACTAAAAATAATAGAATCAATTTCATGCTTTGCACACAAAAATAATTTCATACGCGTGGACATTGTAAAATCATTTTAGAAACAATTCCAGCCAGGGTCATCATCATCAGGACATTCACAGAAGCTAACTAAAATCGGGACATTCATTAAGATTCTTTAATCCAGTTCAGAAGAAAGAAGCTAATCATTGAAAACAAGGAAAATAAATTTCTCTGTGACTGTCGTAGTTTCAGATGATCAACCTGGAAGTGAAAAATTGTAATAATATGTAAAATTAAAGAATCAAAACTGTAATGTACTCAAGTTAACATACGTAGATTTTAATTATTATTTTCTGAAGGTGCCTTTGAAAAAAATGAAAGAAAGGATAACCGGAGTAAGCAAGAGTAAAAAAAGATCAGCCAGTGAAATACCCGATTAGGAATTTCAAAAATAGAGATTATCGAAAACCTGTAGACGTCCATAGACAATTACGTTAAAACTATAGTTACAAATACATATACGAGAAACTATAAACATAGTTATATAGGATGAACCTAAAAAGTAGAAACAAATCTCTTGTCAAAATCAAGATCAAATATAAAATGCAAATATCATCTTCGTGGGGAAATGGACTTTAGAATACGAAACTCAGACATCGCGAATTGTACAAACGTTTTGTATTCGACTACGTAAACAAACCAGAATCTGTCGTAAAAAAAGAAAGGGGGTAAAATACCCTGGAAGTTGAGATCCAGAGAGGCCACCCTGTTCAAACCAGCATACGATGTTTGGTTAATATAAAGTATTGGAAATTAAAGTGAACTTGTTTTACCCGCTCCTCAATGAAAATCAGTAAACGTCCGCTTATCGCAAAATAAATTAAAAGTTCCATGTGGTTCCCCCCAAAAAATTACAAATTGAAGACAAACTGAAGAACTTGTGAAAAATATTAAAATATTAGGAAATCAAGGAAAATTTGAGTCAATGCATGAATAATAGCAATAATAAATTTACATTAACGAAGCTGTCGACTTATTCAGCATTTAGCTGACTTATTACGAAGCCAACCATTCATACAAAGGAGTTAAATAGAAAACAAATTAAAGAAGTTGAGTCTGAATGAACGAAAACAGAGAAAGCAAATAAAATAAGAAACAAACTTCTGAGAAAAGGAATAAAGAAATAAAATGTAAAGAAATACAGAAAAATATTATTTATTTTTTGTTGATGTCGTGTCTTCATATATTCTATATGCTATGGCGTATTTACTGCTTGAACGACAATGGCGTCTAGTTTTGTATTGCTGAGACGAATAAAAATGCCTCTTTGACACAGACCCCAAAAATCGGTATATTAAGAGGGCTTGAAAAAAAGATTTACGAAAGTAATAGCTCGAATGAAAAAAATAGTCAAGCGCTATCTTGCTCATCATCGACCTAAACGACAAAAATGACATTTGTGCATTATATTATGAAGACAGACTTTCTCATCTTGTCTGTGTATCTGCATATCGTTATTATTATCATTATTATTATTATTATTATTAGGCTTTTTTAATGATTCGAAGAGGACTGTTCGACTAATTTTACCAGGTCTTGGTGAATTG